AGGCAGAGACATAGAGTGAGAGACAGAGAGGGAGAGACAGAGAGGGAGAGACAGAGAGTGAGAGACAGTGAGAGACAGAGAGGGAGAGACAGAGAGGGAGAGACAAAGAGGGGAGAGACAGAGGGGGAGAGACAGAGAGGGAGAGACAGAGAGGGAGAGACAGAGAGGGAGAGACATAGAGTGAGAGACAGAGAGGGAAAGACAGAGAGGGAGAGACAGAGAGGGAGAGACAGAGAGGGAGAGACAGAGAGGGAGAGACATAGAGTGAGAGACAGAGAGGGAGAGACAGAGAGGGAGCGACAGAGAGGGAGAGACAGAGAGGGAGAGACAGAGAGGGAGAGACAGAGAGGGATAGACAGAGAGTGAGAGACAGAGAGTGAGAGACATAAAGAAAGAGAAAGAGAGATTGACTGTAAACAATGATATAGCAACATGATATATGTCATATATTGTATGGTAACTTAGAATTGAGTACCTCATTTGTTAATATGTTCTTATTACTAAAGGTTGATAGAAAATTGTTTGACTTTGTCAAATGTATTAGACTTTTCTAAAATTTGATAAACTGCACGGTTCTGACGTATAACAAATATTTCAGTGTTGGCTCATTACCTTGATAAATTTATGATTTTCTGATAAGCTGACAGATAAAAATCTGTATTTATTAATTGGGTCTAAATCAACAACAAAAACAGTAAGCTCAGATGTAACTTAAATTACAGTACCCACTACTGTTACTGATTGACCTAAATGACCTACCCAAACGCATTAGTTCAGGAACACAAAAACCTGTTTATGCTGATGATTCTATCTTATCTTATTAAATAGAGATGTTAATGATGATTACCTCCTACGCGTATCCCTAGGTCAATCTAAATAATGCAACTCAATCAACGACTTAAACTCTACCAGGCCATTGGTTTTCCTGGCTGATATTTTAGAACAATTAAAAATCCCTCCACAAAAGACTGAGATTTTATAAAACAGACGTAGATGATTTACTGAAATGGGAATCAAATAGGAGCAGGATTTTCTGTCTAAAAAATGTCATTTATTTATAGTAAAAAAAATACTTTTTTTTTCATGGTAAACTAGTTACACAGACTAAAATATTAAGATATCTAGGTTCTATAATTAATAGAAGTAAATGGCAGACCCCCAATATTGACGATTTTTTTTTAAATAAAAAAAACGCTTTAGGTCTTATTAAAGAAAATTTTACATATCAAACAAGAACATAAGAAGTTTAAATGCTAATAAACCTTGGTTAGACCAATATTAATATATGCGTCCTCACAACTCAAGAATACATCAATAAACTAGAACAGACGCAAAATAGAGCCATTACAGTTATTGCAACTCAACATTCACATTTAATTAAAGTAACAACATTAGCCGCATTATTAAATTTAGATACGCTTCAGGAAAGATTAATAAAATTAAACAAGTGATAATACTTAAAACACTGAACCATAATTTACAAATTAAAAAATATATTAAAATACTCAGAATCTGTGATTTATAGATACAATGTATATTTAGCTTGTTTTTATGAAAACTTGTTAATATTTTTTCAAATTTTTACATTAAGAAATGAAAACGTCTAAAACAAAGTATATCGACCTCCTTTTGATTTCGCTTACTGGAAGTTTGTGTTATATATATATATATGCCAGTTGACAACGATTTCTTGATGTTACGGTAGGATTGTATTGATTTGACAAAGCGTTTATGGAGTACTTCCTGGTATCTATATTTTCTATGACTAAATTCTCTAACAATATCAAGATGCCGGAGATACTACTTTAATGTATAAACTCAAAACTGAAATCTTCTTTTAAATACAAAGAATTAATTTTGGACTTGGAATCACTTAAATAATATTAATAATAATAATGAAAATAATAATAATCATCTTTATTGTCTGTGAGGAAATTTGTCTTACAATTTGTACATTACACCAAACAGAACATAGTAACTATGAAAAAATATGTACATTCTCACCTGACTTACTCATAATTTACATACGAAAAAAGTTTATATCAAATTGTTGCTATTTAATGATTTGACTGCCAAGGGTACAAAAGAGTGTTTGTGTCTGTTTGTCTTTGCTATCGGTGTCTTGTATCTCTTTTGTGATGGTAAATTACAGAATCCTGACACAAAGGGTGATTCTTTATTTCTATAATTTTTTTTTATCTTTTTTTATGGATGTTTGTCTCAAACAACTGCCCAAATGTTTTGTTTTTTTTTACCAATGACTTTACCAGCAGCATTTAGGATTCTATGGAGTTTATTTTTATTTCTAATGATCAGATTGCGATACCAAGTAGTCATATTAAAACTTAAAATATTGCATATGTGATCGTGATAAAACATAGCCAAAGCCTTTTTACTAACATTGAACGAGGACAGTCTTCTCAGTAATCGTAATCTTTGCTGCCCTTTTTTTGCTGAAATAATCAATATTTGCAGTAAAATTTAATTTATTGTCTAGGATAGTGCCAAGGAATTGAAAAGTTTGAACTATTTCAATAGTTTCTCCAGGTACAGAAACAATATCACTTTATTTCTTTTCCCTACGAAAATCTATTATAATTTCTTTTGGAGTTTTTTTTTTGACATTTAATAATAAAAAAATAACTTGACAGTACTTTTCAATGTGTTCTATTTCTCTAAAATACTCATTTACGTCTGAGCTCTATGAGAGCTGGGCAAAAAGAGCCGCATCATCAGCGAATTTTGTGAAGGACTATTGGATTGAAAATCATTGGTGTACAAAATGAACCACAATGACGATGTCACAGCCCCCTGGGGCCCCCTTGTGTTAACTATGTGTCCCTTTGATATTACATTGTTTACTTTAACCCTCTGAGGTCTTTGTGTCTAAAATTCATTAGCCCATAGTATTATGTATGGACTTGTCTTCAACGCTTTCATTTATTTCAATAAGTAAATGAAGTTGTATAATATTAAAAGCTGATGAGAAATCAATAAAGAACAATCTTACGTAAGTGTTCGGTAAGTCCAGATATTTTGTAGATACAATTTAAAATATTTAGGATGGCATCGTCTACACCTTTACCTTTTTGGTAAGCAAATTGTAAAGGTTCCAATTTACTACAAAGATCATTCAGAAGAAACATTTTAACCAATTTTTCGAAACATTTAGACACAATGGACATAAGTGAAACAGGTCTAAAGTTATTCATTTCCTTTGGCTTGGAAACCTTTTGCACAGGTACAATTATAGGAGACTTCCACATAGATGGTATCTCGTGGTTTAGTAATGAAGTAAAGATAATCTCTAGGAAAGGTTCAGCTAGTTGTTCCAGCACACTTTTAATATTCGCCCTTGTATACCATCAGGCTTAGCAGCTTTCATTGGGTAGACATTTTTGAAAATGTTGCAGACTTGGTCTTTAGTAATCGCTAGATCCAAACAGTTGTGAACTTTGACATCTTCCAGGACTTTGAGTCTTAGATAATTAAAATCGTTAGTATCAAAACGACAATTGAGATGATTTAACTCGTTGTTTTGTCGTCTTTTGTAGCAAGATTATGTTTACTTTTGACTTGTGCTTCTGACATTTTGTTCATGACGCCCCACGCCTGTCTCATGTCACTTGTCTTAATTGAGTCCTCCAGTTTGGTGCGGTAGTTTCTCCTCTCTTCCTCAAGAGCGACACTGAAATGACGTTGTGCTATTTTCCTTTCATGCCTGTGGCCACTCACATACGCTCTTCTCTTTTGGATTATTTCTTGTTTTACTTTTGCACATCGTTGGAACTAAATGTAACATTCACTTAGCAACAACATATAACGTTGGAACTAAATGTAACATTCACTTAGCAACAACATATAACGTCGGAACTAAATGTAACATTCACTTAGCAACAACATATAACGTCGGAACTAAATGTAACATTCACTTAGCAACAACATATAACGTTGGAACTAAATGTAACATTCACTTAGCAACAACATATAACGTTGGAACTAAATGTAACATTCACTTAGCAACAACATATAACGTTGGAAGTAAATGTAACATTCACTTAGCAACAACATATAACGTTGGAACTAAATGCAACATTCACTTAGCAACAACATATAATCATGACGTTGCGTTGCAGTAATACCTTCGAAAGTCCAAAAATAAACTTAATGCAATAGCTCTAGGTAACGTGACAGTCTGGCATCTAAAAGACCAAAAAAAAGATGCTTATCGTTGTTTTAATAACTTATTATACTTGTATAACTTACGCAAGATATATGGACATATTAGGCCTGATCACAGGTCAAAATGTTCAACCTTAAAATTGGTAATGAGCAATGGGTCTCTACTAGCCAAAAGGTTGCTATGTCAAAGGTCATTGTTCAGGCCTACTATGACGCACTTAAATCTCAAGCTCAATCTGAATTGCAAGTACTATAGATGTTTTACATTAAAAATAACACTAACAATTTGACCACTGTTTTTTAGATTTCACCAGAAACTGTTATATTAACTTCTCTCTTCATCGTCTAGAATTGACAGCACCAGTAAGAACAGCCTTGATTCAAGATGAGACTTTTCTTCATTATCGCCCTGTTGGTTGTCTTCGTCGTTGATACGGCTAAGGCCAATGAAAAAACAAGGTATTTGGCTTGCATGCTCCGGAAACAGCTATCCACTATCTGTACTGTCTGGATCAGGAGTGAAGTAATACATAGAAGACATACACAGGCTGGCTGGTGCTATCTTGTAAGGAGATATAGAAATGCGTTCTTTAAGAATGGTTGCACAGCGAATGAATACGCAATCACGAATCATGTCGTGTGCCGTCCAATACCCAGTCCAGCAATTTGTGACCCTTTTGGATGATTAATAGAAGCGAAAGTTAAAGTTTAAACCTATCCAAAGCCATAAAATAAAGTTTAAAACTGAATAAAAAAAATTTGAGAAATGTTTTAACAATTTATTCTAATACTTTAAATCATATTATAAGTGGCCGGGGGGGGGGGGGGGCAGTTTTTGTTAAAATAAATGTTCAGAAATCGATATACTACAATAAAACACAAATATAATGGACCCTTTTTTTTCCCTTTTTTCAAACAACTTTGATAATTTATCTTACTCGTAGTGATTTTGTTCATTGTTTTAAAATAAAGGAAATAAAAACTTACATTTTTTTAAATTTAAATTTTTAAAATTTTCACTTACAAAAATACAAAAAAAACTTTGTTAGATTTTGGTGTATAATTATATGCTAATAAATTTTGAATCAGAAAATAGATGTAGAATTAAGGATAAATTAGACTCACAAAGAATCTGGACACTTGTATATATTATACCATTAAAACATTTTAACAAGCTAGTAATGCTATTTAAAGGAACATCCATTTATGTATATATGCATGCATGTATGTATGTATGTATGTATGTATGTATGCATGTATGTATGTATGTATGTATGTATGTATGTATGTATGTATGTATGTATATATATATATATATATATATATATATATATATATATATATATATACATATATTGTCAAAATTTGAGAAAAGACTAATTTTGGCTGAACAGAAATGGCTAAGACAATTTTTAGGAGTCAACTATAGAGATCAGGTCTCAATGAAGGAAATCCTATGCCAAACTGGTAGTTGTACACTAAATGAGGTTGTGACTGAGCGTCTCATAATTGTTTGCTGGACATAATCTCCGTCAAAATGAATGAAGCATACAAAGAGTTTGCGATGTCATGGAGGAAATACTACGAGGATTAACTTGGTGCTACACTTTATAGACGATCTCAGAGCAGTGGACTGAATGATCTTTCTGTAGGCAGCTTGCCTCCCAATACGCCAAAAGATGTGGAAGGATCTCAGTCTAATATATATATAGAGAGAGATTTTACACCTACACACATACTGTGAGAAGGATAACATAGAGAGTCAGTAAATAGATGGTCTTAAAGTCAGAGACTGAGATACAAGAGTTTTATAGCCAGATGATGTAAGACATATTGGTACATATGCTCCTTCTCCACTAGTACTATTAGAGCATAGAATTCGGTTTTCGAATCAGATAGGGAAAAAAATTGAATTGGCAGATTTGAAGTCATTGATTAACAAGCATGATTATATTGACCTAGGGAAACGCTAGGCTGTAATTATCTTCTATTTTTAAGTAACGTTTGTAATTATAATATGAGAAGATAACATCTAATATTCAAAGCATCTAGAGCTCTGAGATTTAGTTTAAAGATCTAAAAAGTATCTCAGGCATCAGTGTTAGATGTAGACTTAGTAAGGCCCTAAGATTTTTGAGATAAGAGGCTTCTCGTAATCAACATAACGCAATTACTTTTTTTTCTTCAAATGATAAAAAATACTCCTGGAATAATTTTGTCTCTGGCCCCAAGCACGTTATGGCCCTAATGTATAGATCATGTAACCTGTATGTAAATCTAGCATAGGCAGGCACATTTGATAGTAGAGAGTCTGAGATTGAAAGAGTTACATCTGTGTGTAAGTAATCTATTGAGATGTAATAGGAAACATTCTTCTTGTCTTTCATGTTGACAATGTACCACAAGAATGTACAACGCTAGTCATTAAAAGTCAGCTCAAATATTTCTTCTTTCTCCATACCCTCTCCCTAATTATTTGCTTTCTCCTAAGTTGAACTGCGCCATCTGGGTTGATCATCTCCTCTAATTATCTACCATTGATGAATTCAAAAGTGCGATAAGATTAATTTCCTATCGACTTTTATTTAGTCTGTCGGCAGCTTTATCTACCTCATCTATTCAAACAACAAAAAGCAAAAGAAATTATGCAGCACTCAAAGAGCAAATTCTCTGAGGCATCTTTCTCTTATAAGCCCTAGTCAGCCTCCACCAGTTAACTTAACATCACATGATAAGAAGCGGGGACCATAGCAGAAGTAGCCTTTTTTTAAATTTTATTTCTAAATGATATTTTTTTTCTTAATACGAGGCTTTGGAGATACTTTGCATTTTATATAATAAACGTGTTTAAACCGATCACCTGCAACCTAAGTAAAATTTCTTAAGTCGTGATATTACTGTCACAAGGACTTGTGGAATAAATCTTCTTTGATTAAAGATTATTGTCAAATCTTTCCTTTTCTAGCCAAGCTTCCCAATTTAAAAAATCAAACTAGCTAAAATTTGGCCATTCACACTTGCACTCTTGTATCTTTTTTTTACGGAGATTTAGTGCGACTCTAAAATATTATAAAATATTAGATAAATTAAAATATTTTACACTAAAGCATATATATTAAAATTAAATAAAGACAGATTGATATGTTCAGAATTGAGCCAATCTACTAAGTAGAATCTGTTCACATCCTAAAAAAACTATCAATGAATTTATTTGGGTCAAACACTTATTTTCGTACAAACTGTAATATCTTATCACATCACCAGCCAAATGACTTTTCAGAAATAGATTAGTATCTGTCCACTTCTCAAGGTATGTATTAACTTCCTGGGGTATTCGTCAACTTCCTGGAGTATTCGTCCAATTCCTGGGGTATATCCAGTCTGTAGCATAGTTCGAGTCAGGTCCATCTGAAAGTTTGTGCTAACCTAAGCGACAGTTCAAACTGAACTAGTATCGCCTGCTTGATGTCTTGATTTTTCCTGCTTTTGAGAGCGGACTTTTTGTATAAGAGGAATGGCTAAAACACCACGTCTCTTCTGACAAACTGTAATGCCGTGCCACATCTTAAAAGCATTTTAGGAAGACTTTGATAACTTCACATTTGTCCTCAAAATGCTCCATGGACATGTGGGGTATTCCGCTTAATAGTCCATGACTTGAGGCAGGCGAGCTTTAGTTGCAAACCAAGCGGTCAGATCTCTTAATTCCTAGCTGTACTTTTTCTCTCTATATCAATTCCTTTTAAATCTTACTTTTTGTTTCTTCCCTGTCCCAAGACTCTTGCTATTTATTGCCAGCTTATCCCACACATAGCTGTGTACGTTTCTCTTTGTGATTAACCCTCTCTGTATCCTAAATATATAGGTCTGTTAGAAGGTCCTTAATATGTATTTTTAGTTTTTATTTAGCAGTGAAGAGAGAGTGGCTAGAAATAGTGAACGGAGAATGACAGAGAAATGGGAATGGAGATACAATAGGAAATAGAATGTATAATGGAAAAAAATATATAGGCTGTGAAGTGTTTTTTAGCTGAATTGTTAGGGGGAAAATACATAGAATAGGGGAAGAAACTTCTACTTAGTTGTAAAGTATACGATTTATTGTTTCCATGTTGGTTAATAAGCGCTCAAAGAAAAGGTTAAGATAGCTATCGAGCTATGTAAAGACATGATAGTAATGAGAGACTTCAACCACAACATCTATTTCTTCTGTTGTTGAGGGTATGTCAGGAATCGATTCAGGACGATGTCAGTTCAAAATTTCCTGAAAGTGTTCGGCCCATCTATCCTTCTGTCCAACATCACTGGTGATGATTTTTCCTTGTTTGTCTTTTACTGGCTTGTTGGTGTTGGTATTTCTTCCTGCTAAGGTTCTTGTTATGTCGTAAAACCTTTTCATGTCTCTTTGTTTTGCTGCCTTTTCTGCATCGACTGTCATTTCATGAAGGAAGCGTTTTTTGTCACCTAATGCATTCTTTCTTACAGACTTGTTGACTGCACCATGCTGAGTTCTAAGATTAGCTTTTTGTTCTTCATTCTGGCATTGGTACTATCTTTTCTTTTAGCTCTTTCCGTTCCTGGATTTTGGCCCATGTCTTGTATTGTTTCGTTTTCCTGCCTAGGACGTCTGTTCATGTACTTTTCCATATCTCTTGGAGAGTGAGGCAGTGCTGGTCAAGGAATTAATCTGTCACTAGTCCAGCAAGTACTTCAAATTTATTTTTAACCTCACAATTAAAGAGTACCTTGTTTTATTTGCACTTTAAGTACTGGGTGTTGAATTTGTAGTGTGGTCTGTCAGAAAATTCCTTAAAGGATTTAAGTTTGATCTTCGCTGTAGCTATTAGCAGATGATGATCACAAGCTACATCTGCTCCTCGTCTCACCTTAACATCAAGGAGACTTCTCCTCCATTTACGAGAGATTGCAAAATGGTCAATTTGGTTTTCCGTTTTACCATCTGGGGAAGTCCATGTTGTCTTGTGTATAGTTCTGTGTGGAAAGATGGTTCCTCCTATGATATTATCGTTGAATGCGCAGAAATCAGCAAATAAGTCCCCATTTTCATTGCATGTGCCTGCACCATGTTTACCCATGTAGAGCTCCTTTCCAGCATCGTTTGTACCTACTTTAGCGTCCATCTCACCCATAATAAGCTTGATATCAGTTTAGGTGTTTTTTCTAGTACAAATTGTACAGCGTTATAAAATTCTTCTTTCTCTTCTACTGGTGCTGCATTTGTTGGTACATAGCACTGGGTGATGGTTGTTTTCCTTCCCTTTGCATTAAATCTGGCTGACGTGTCTTGAGGAAACTGGCTCCCATCCCAACAAAGCATTTGATGCCTCTCTTGACAGTAGAAGTGCTACTCCCTGTGTGTGATCGTGGTCTAGATCTTCATGTCCAGAATATATAATGCTCTCCCCAGTTGTCAGATTGCTTAGACCACTTCCATTCCAACGTGTTTCACTGAGGCCTAAAACCTTGATTGTGTACTTTCTCATTTCGCTTGCCACTTCGTTTATACTGCCGCTATCATACAGGGTTCTGATGTTCCATGTCCCTATCCTGGTTGAGGTCTTGGTCGTCAGAAGGTTTGTCTGTGCGCTAGCTTCCAGAGGGCTTTCACTAGTACAGGTCATAGACTCTTCCACAGAGGAACCTTCCTGGCCAAGTTCTAGTTGGTTTGGTGTATTTCCGGTTTCTGTAGCAATAGTTTAGTGATGTGAGGTTGCTAGCCTTACGATCACCCCTCCTCCTTTACCCGGGCTTGGGACCGGCAAGATACTCTAATAAGGTGTACCCAGGTGGAGTTAAGGGAGCTTGCCATTTTTTAACACATTTATGCCAACGGTTTTAGATTTTGTTGTCAAAACAATTTTTTACGTTTGTATTGCTAAGTTATCTCAGTTCTGTCATACTAATAGCTACATTTATCCAAAAAATCTATTTAGCAGGCATAAGTTCGACATAATTTAAAACACCAATTATTAAGTAGATTTTAATATTATCACGTTAGTAGTAGTGC